AGCTTGGGAGCTCCAGGCCAGGCAGCAGGATGAACTGTTTTACTACGAGGGCAGTGCAGCACTGGAATAGGTTGCCCAGAGACATCATGTAACTTCCACCCTTGCAGGTTTTCAAGCTTCAGCGAGACAAAGCCCCAGCTGACCTGAGTACTAGTGCCAGTCCTGCTGCAAGCTGGAGGATGAACTACATCTCCAGAGAGCGTTGTGGACAACAGTTCTGCAATTCTGCGACCTACTGAGAAATGGAGAACCCACAAAACCCAAAGCAGAAAAAGCCTTTTTTGCTTTCAGGAATTCAGTCCCCAGTAATGCAGTGCTCCCAGGCTGGGCTGGAGGCCCCACAGCACCCAGGTGCTCTGACAGCAGCAGGGAGCACGAAGCAGAGAAGACAACACGTGCACAATGCGGAGCTGCCAGGCTTTGGGTACGTAGCTCCGCTGCTCACAACCTGCAAGCGATGCTGCCTGTGGTCCCACCTCTGCTAGCTCTATTTTGAAATCTTATTTCTCAGCATGATGTGAGAAAACCCCGTGTCATTTCTTTCAGAAAAAAATATTACAGTAAATCCCTCCAACGAAGCTTACTCATTTCCTCTCCCCCCTCTCTCACCATCTTCTTACTGCAAAGACAAAAGTCCTTTTATAATACAAGGGGCTTATCTTATCTACTTGCTCAACAGCCCCACAGAGCTGAAAGTTCAGCAGAGCTGAAAGAGGAGAATTGAACCTTTCCTTGTAAACAATCACTGGTATTTTAAGCATGTGTTTACATCCAGGGACTCCTTCAGTACTATTCTCGGCCTTTTTATTTTACAACTCTCCTGAGCATCTGCACCATCTCAGAACTCCACCAGTGCTCCTCGTCAGCACAGACCTCCCCACATCTAAGGCAAACCAGTTTGTGTTAAAGCCTTGGTGGAAAACCTCCACAGCACAGCATGACAGAAGAATTGACACAGGCTGATGTGATACAAAGGAGGGCCACACTCAGGCCAGAAAACACATACTTGCATTTTTATGCCACACTAGTTATCAGAGGTGTCCTAGTAAGTAGCCATCTGATCCTACCTAAGGGAGAATTAACAGTGAGAAAAACGAGTGCCCTTTCAATCCTTGTGTGCTAGCCAGGCAGCAGATCCCCGAATCACTGTTTAGTGTAAACTGCATATGCCCTTGACTACCAAGTGAGAAAATTTTTCTGAGCATGAAAAAGTCTGAAGGAAAAACTGGCTGAGCTGTCTTACCCATACTTTGGATTTCAGTAACTTTTAGGACCAAAATTACTCTGCACATCAGATTGTCTACTAAACCAGAAGAGAGAACAAAAAACTTGCTCTGAAGTAACACTTGTATATCAAGTCACCCGCCTGCACAATTATATTACAGGTTTTTTTTACATTTGCCTTCATTTTTTCTCTTTTGATTTTTATGTGTTAAGCATTTAGCATCTTTTTTTAAGGTACAGCTGAGTTTATGTAGCAATTGATTCACTGCTAAATCCTGCCACTCCCAGTACTGGCAGAAAGACAAACTCAGGCAACAGCCACATCCAGATTTATTACTGGCCAAGTCCAGATTTCAGCCGATTCCCTGCAGTGACTAAGCTCTAGAGAGGCCTGCTGCGCTGGAAGAGACTGCTCATGCCTCGGTCACTAGGCAAAGGGGAAAAAAGCTGCACAAGACTCATTGCTAATCTGCTATTAAAATAGAGGCCTCTTTCGCCCCTCCACCTGCACAGGGTGGCTTTGTCTAAGAGGTGAACTGTGCATGACAGAAGAGAGGCACTGCTCTAACTTCAGCTGGTTCGTTAACAGCAGTTACAAAGCTGCTTTTCTGAATTTCTGCCTTCCTTTCAGTGGCTTTCTCCAACATCCTGGAGCTCTCCCCATCCTCCACAGCACTTCAGGCCATGACAGCTCCAGCCGTACTTAATCCTACCTTACTAGTTCACAGCCACAGTATGCACACACTTCTTCACTTGGGAGAGTCCAACCCCTGGCAGTTAAACATCTGCAGAAGTATTAAAGTACCTCACGTCTCTCTAACTCGGTTTGATTTCTTGCGGCTTAGTCTGAGGCTGCATTTTTAGAAAGCACTGGCCTACTTTCACAGAAGGTCATGAACAAGGAAACCTCCGAGTCTTAGAAGATTACTTCATCACCTATTTCTATTCAAAACATTGGTCAAGAGTATTTTAAGATTAAAAAACCTAGCGGCTTACACCATGAAGGAGGTTTTTTTTTTTATGCAAGTGGCACAGGCTGCAAATGGCATTGCCAGAACATGGGTTTAATTCTGCTATCAGAAAAATTGGGTAGAATTTCTAAAAATGTCTTCACTGATCAAAAACTATTCTGCAACAGGCACCGAAAGGAGCTTTTGTGTTCCTACACACACACGACAGCATTGCCAACTACTCCCCATGCCACGCAGGAGCAGCACGGCACACTGCAGGAGCCATCTCATAACCGCAGAGCCAGGGTTTGGCAACAAGGATCCCATAAGGCATCCCAGAACAAGAGCCAGGCCCTGACGTCCCACAGGTGAGAGTCCATTTACAGAGTCCATTTACCCTCAAAGCACCTGGGACACAGCCCCTTGCCAATACTACTGTGCATCAAGGAAGCACCTCCACATACACCCTCTGTATCCTAGCGACTGTTACTAGCAAAGGCAAAATACAAATATTTTTTGTTTTGATTTGAAATGGGAACTTCCTTCTGATACCCAGCACAGACCTGCCTGCAGCTAAAGCACACACACAGCCCCATCACGCAATGCAGGGCAGCTACAACCTGTTGTAAGATGTGAGATGGCAGCAGCTTCAGCAGACAGAGCTGCAAGGAGAGTACCACGAGCAGTGTTACTGTTACTGCTCCAGTAACACCACAGACATCACGCTCCTACTGCTACCAATGCGGCTCCAGGGCTCTCAAGGTTTGTACTCTATTAGAAAAAACCCTCAACTAGAAAAAAGCAAGCATGGTTTGTACTCCAATAGAAACACCAAACATGAACCCCAAACCCATGTTGTATGTCACTAGTGTCTACGCCACCACCATAGGGGTGCTTTTCCCTCATGTGAGTAAGTCCTTACAAGGTGCAAGGTACCCAATGGGACAGATGGCAACATAAAACTGCTTTCCTCCCTTCTGTAGCCATCAGCTATGTTTTGCCTTTTTTTTTTTTAAAGCACAAACCTGCAAATTTAAGTGATTTAGTATTAGTGATTTCTAGGTGATGGCTTTTCTCTACAACCCATTTTCATACAGCAAAACTGGTAATTATTGGAGAAGGGATTTGTTAAGTAAATTGAGGTAGCATCTCTCTCCTGCAGACAGGCCCAAGCTGAGCAGACACACAGCCCGGCCCTGTGCCAATAAAGTGGGGAGGCATTTAGAACTGAACTACCCCTGCCTCAGGGGTGCTTATGTCGAAGCTTTTTGGAATTCTGCACCTCAGAAACACGTGCAGCACAGATATTGCTGAACTTCTCTCAAAAACAGCTTTTTCATACAAGAATAGTCTTAAAAGAGTTATCTGTTTCTACTGAGTGTGACAGACAGTTGAAGCACTTCCTCTTGTGTGTAGCTTTTTTTTTTTTAAACACCATACATTGAAGAATTGGAAACAAAACATCCCAGACTCTTGAATTAAAATACAAGCTTTACAACCATATAGTAAGTGTAGGCTCTTATATTTCAGTTTAAGACTATATAATTTTATAGAGTACCAAAATAAGCAGAAGATCAGCACTCTGTACAAAGTGGTAGTTCTTGTGAGGAGGGTAGAAGGGAAAAGGACTTTGATTACACTAAACTTTTTTTCAAGTCTAAAGAAAATTCCATTTCAGCAAAACAGCTTTGGGTTTGGATTCCCCGTATTTCTAGTTCATTAAATAGTGTTTCTTTAAAGACATTTACATTTTTCTCATTCAAAGTAAAGGGATGATGATTTAAAGCAATATTAACAAGGAGGTGGTGCCGTTAATGTTTAATGTCAATATGCAATGGCATCTGCTATAACAGCTAGAAAAGCAACACAACTCGATCTTTACTTCTGAAGACCATTAGGAATCGACTAACATTTGAGAAAGTTCCAAGCACACTACACTGACCCTACGTCACAGCCTCTGCTAGGCTGTGCACCCCCATGAGGGACTCAGCAGGCAAATCCCAATGCCCAGGCGCCAGCTGTGTACCACAAGTCCAACTTGGGACGGTTATGTCTCTTCCCCTGTCTTATGGCATGAAAATGCAAGGAAATCATTAGCTAACATTGCCACTACAAATTTTACAAAAGCATAAAACCTGAACAAAATAGCAGTTAAAACAAATTGAAGCTCTCCATTCAACTTCAGACTTCATTCTCCATGACAGCCCTCCTCCTGTCCTATTCCCTGTCCAGTTTCTTCCCCCACTCCTTCCCTAATGCCTGCTTTACAATAAATAGGTTAAGTGGATTTCATGATGCAAGCGCAACTCAAAAGACTTTTGCCCTATACATATAACCATGTTAAATTGTGAGATTATACACATAATGTATCTCCAACAGAGCAACCACCAATTTAGATTTTTAAAGAAATACAAGTATTTCAGCATGTACACAGTAAGGAGTTTAAAACTGTCCAACATCACTTTCACACATTCTCTTCCTCTTTATAGTCTTAAAGGGATTTTAGACCTTGATGGCAACAATCCCAAAACAAGAGTAAAATGAATTTATTTTATTGCAAACAAACGTCTAGAGTTAAATTTCTCCACCCACTTTCTTTAAAGAGAAAAGGAATCAGCAGGCTAAGGAGATACACCCATTTGAGAATTGACATGATTAAAAATTAGATATAAAATGGGTGACTCACAGTTTCATTAGCTTACAAAATGGTGGAGCAACTACTACAAGCACACTAGGTATACAGTATTTTGTGGGGAAAG